AGGAAATACATAGTTGAAACTAGCACTAGTAAATATTCAGCGGACACTAGCACTAGGAAATACATAGTTGAAACTAGCAATAGCAATATACAGCCTACGCTAGGGCTAGGAAATACATAGTTGAAACTAGCACTAGTAAATATTCAGCGGACACTAGCACTAGGAAATACATAGTTGAAACTAGCACTAGTAAATATACAGCTTACGCTAGCACTAGGAAATACATAGTTGAAACTAGCAAATAGTAAACGGATTCACTAGAAATACATAGTTGAAACTAGCACTAGCAAATAGGGAAAGCACTAGGAAATACATAGTTGAAACTAGCACTAGTAAATATTCAGCGGACACTAGCACTAGGAAATACATTGTTGAAACTAGCACTAGTAAATATACAGCCTACGCTAGCACTAGGAAATACATAGTTGAAACTAGCACTAGTAAATATTCAGCGGACACTAGCACTAGGAAATACATAGTTGAAACTAGCACTAGTAAATATTCAGCGGACACTAGCACTAGGAAATACATAGTTGAAACTAGCACTAGTAAATATACAGTGGACACTAACACTAGGAAGTACATACATGAAGTTCCAACACAAAGTGGATACTAGCACTAGCAATATACAGCGGACACTAGCACTAGGAATATACATCGGACACTAGCACTAGGAATATACAGCGGACACTAGCACTAGTAAATTCAATGCGGATACTGGCACTTGTTAATATTCAACGGACATTAGCACCATTAAATACACAGCGAATACTAGCACTAGTAAATACATAGTAGACTCAAGCAGTAGTAAAAACACAGTTGACACTAGCACTGGTAAAATCACAGCGACAGAAGCACTGGTTAATGAAATATTGAATCACTTTAACTACGCATTGCCTGGTTATTTCAGTCCGACCTGTGATAAAATATTTGAAAACCCTTAAGTGACTTAAATGCTTCTCTCTTCCCTCCGATCACAGATCCCCGTTATCAGACCTCAAACAGAACCGGATTACAAAAGAATTACATTTCAGATGTGACCAGAGGTTGGTGTGTGTGGTCGCATCCTTATCTGCTGGCTGATCAAGGAGCTGGAATCACATCCCCAGTCAGGTCACTAGTGGTCATCTGGCCATAATACAGCTGCCGGTATTATTTACGAACCCAATAAAACAGACAGGATGATGACCACCCATTTTGTCTTCGCATTGTGGATAGCACGAACTATTAACAAAGGCAGCGTTGCCATGGTAACAACTTGTCTGTGGTTATAATAACCTTCTTTACGTTTCTGTAAATATTAACAGTCCTTCCCTTTCCATTGACGGGTGATGTCACGTACAGAACTTGGTTTATTGGTAGACACTGTCCTCTGGATTTTGAGATGGTTTCTACACCGATAGATCGTTATTTATTTCTGTAGTATATACCAGGGCCCCGTCACCAGTTTATGGACAATCTATCCATATAATGTTGCTTTATGTGCTTTAGTCTGATTTCGCGAGTATTTTGAGCGACTGTGGTAAATGTCACCCCGACTTGATATAATTAAATGTCTGCAGGAGACAACTGTTCGTCTCCATACTCCCGATGGCATCATCCTGACAGTGAAAAGAGAGGTTTCAGCAAAAGCCATTTTCAAATTACGTTGTCTTTTGTACATGGACTTAGGCAAGTATAGCAATATGACTCATCTCAAGACAGACCAGGGAGATGGCGGAACCTCAGTTGAAACGAAGAACGTTTGAGGTGTTTGTTGCTTAACGCCGCACTCAGCAATATTCCAGCTATTTGGAGGCGGTTTGTAAATAATCGAGTCTGGACCAGACAATCCAGTGATCAACAACATGAGCATCGATCTATGCAATTGGGAACCGATGACATGTATCAGCCAAGTCAGCGAGCCATAACCACCCGATCCCGTTAGTCTCCTCTTACGACAAGCATTTGTTACTGAAGACCAATTCAAATCCAAATCTTCAGGGGTCTTAGGTTGCACCGGAGGAACAAAATATATACTTTTGATCACCTTGTGTTTGTGTTTTTCAGAAAGCTATGTTAAGGGATGATAGGGGTAGACAGGTTGCTAATGCTGAAGGCTCGGGTTTTATTCCTTACTTGGACACAATGTGTAATTAATTCACAGTTCTGGTGTCCCCGACCACATATTGAATATTAATGCGACGTAAAATAAACCCGCTCTGTCACTAGTTCACTGCTGTACATATTGAACATGTGTCGACATGTTGAGGACTGCTAAGGAGTAAGGATATCAGATATCACTGTGTCAATCCCACGGCTGTTTCACCACATGGGTCATAGCGCCACACGCCTATTCCTCAAAATGTGTTTCACCCCACCTTCCAGGACCTCAGTAAAGCTTTCAAAAGACCCGAAGCAATTCCCTGTATACCTTTACCATGTTCCCTTGGTTCTGTTCACCAAATGAACAATTGACATGGCTTTGCATGTGTTTGCCACTGGTGGGGCAAGATAACCACATCTTTACAAACTTCTGGTATCGTCACTACTTGATAGGGATTCATGGCACATGTAGTCGGAATCGTACAGCGGAGCCTACGTCCAGCAATGGTTTCTCGCGATGATGGGGAGGCTTTTGTCGCTTTTAATTATCTAACTGTTACGTGTCAAAGTCTTAATACGAACTCAGGTGGAACTTCTCCTCAGTAACTTAAAACACTTCTGTAGAGCAGGGACCGCCTCCGTGGTGTAGTGGTCAGAGCGTCCGCCCGGAGAGCGGAAGGTCGCTGGTTCGATCCCCGACCGCGTCATACCAAAAAACGTTAAATTATGGTACTTGTTGGTCCCTGCCTGGCGTTCGGAGTTAATGGGTACAACAAGGACTGGTCGGCTCGGAGTCAGTATAATGTGTCTGAGTGGGGTGTTCATGCTTCACTGCGGCATGGTATCTCAGTGGGCTAGCACTATCAAACCAGCTTAAGTCTGGGCTAGTACAAGCAGCCGCACATACACATACACACGCATGGACGTCGTCATATAAGCGAAATATTCTCAAGCACGACGATAAACCCAGTTTCACCTCACCTGTAGAGCAGAAGCACTTATTGGAGGTGCGTTTATGGTTACATCTATTTTGATCAAGGGACGGTAGGGTAGCCCGGTGGTTAAAGCGTTCGCTCGTCACGCCGAAGGCTCGGGTTCGATTCCCCATATGGGTACAATGTGTGTGAAGCCCATTTCTGGTGTCCCCCGCCGCGATATTGCTGGACTATTGCTAAAAGCAGGGTAAAACCCAAATAATTCATTTGTTATGCTCCAGAACTATTGTGCAACATTTCAATGTTTGGTTATAATTCCCGTATCAACACTTCAGACAAGAACAGCAAATATATGCTTTGTTTTCTATAAAGATAAAATCCTACCTCGGCTATTGAATTTTAGCCTTATACCAGATAATAATAATGGAGACAAACGGTTTACTTTAATTTCACACTCCTGTTACATAATACCAGACTATCTTCTGCTAAGGAATTATCTTCACATAAAATGGAACAGCATATTGATTTTAGTTGGTCCTCTGCGAATGTCAATTATTTTTAGTTTAGATAGTTGCCTGTCAAGCAGTATCTGTTATCAAGGATTATGATCGGCCTCTTTCATGTTCACCGAGTGCCTCGATGAAGGCGAGACTACAGGCAGAGCTGGAATCACGTTTAGTACGTGTTGGAAATATTACTTTCCTTAAAACTATACACCAACATGTAGCACCCTCCTGTGCGTGAAGCACCTACCAGGATAACGACTGATCTAAAGACAACAATATACAGAATATGGGTTCATTGGTTTATATGGGGGCTGGTTCATGTCATGTGCTTTCAGGATCGTTGCGGGAAACTGACACAACCTTTGAAGAGGTTAAGGTAGAGCTTGGTGAAACCTAAATAAAGTGGTGTACATAGCTGTTACAATTGTAATGTTATATATCTGAAGGAAGAACTAACATTTGCTAACAATATTTAAAACGGACAAGGGTTTCGAAAGATAAAGAGCAATGGAAGTCTCACTATTTCATGTCTTGCTCAAATTCTGGAATGCGCTGAACTCAGAATTCCCAAATGATCGATAGCATGTTTGCGTTCAATGTCCAAGAACCATTGTTATCAAACATTCATCCACAAGGACAGTGAAACTACATTTATTGAGACAGGTGCGTTCCTATCCATATCCATATTTAACATTTTGTTGGATAAGAGAATCATTGGAACAACAGTAACATAGGTGTCAGTAGGTATCAGTATAAGCTTGCCGAGCAGTTAATGGCCATTTCATGTTGTTTCCGGAATAAATATAACTGGACTAACGATTCGTCACAGTAGCGGTAAACGTCTTTCGTTGGGTGGTATTGACAGCACGCTCTTTACACCACGTTAGAGTCAACTGTCAACATTGTCAGAAAAATGCCTACCCATGTTTAACGATGGCTAAAAGTAAAACGAACAAGCATTGGTATTTTGGTGGTGATGTATGTATGTTTGACACGGGTATCATGGTTTGGGTATTATGTATGCGGTGTTTCGGGTGACGTTTTCAACACGGAAAGTCTTTATAGTGTTCGTAATTGGTAGGTTAAATTTGATATATCTATGCACTGTGTCTTTTGTAATAGCACAAAAACAAATTATATAACTTATTATTAAACACATGCTGATGCCTTTTTGATTCAGTATGTCATGTTGAATACCATTACACCATTTTCTCATATAATCAGCATTTCATTTCAGATTTCAGAAAATTAAAACAACAAGAAATATCACGAACGTACTACTGGAATAGAAAGAAAATGCTTTGAACTTTGCAGCAACATCCTCAGAATATATACACTTTTTGAAGATGGAGCTGTAATGACGAATGTTATCTTTCAGGTTATGTTTGAAAGTGTGGTTTTAAAATATTATCTCTTAAAACTGTTTTATCGTGACATATACTATTCTCCTAACACAAGTATTTTATGGTTGCAGGGTATGGCCACAGCACACCTCAGACAGTCGGAGGGAAGATATTCTGCATGTTCTATGCCTTGGCAGGGATTCCTCTGTGTATCGTCATGTTCCAAAGTGTCGGCGAGAGACTCAACACTTTCGTCACATTTGTCCTCAAGCAGCTAAGGAAGTGTTTCAGGATGAAGAATACAGAGGTTTCTCAGACTAATCTGATCCTCGTGGCCATGAACCTGTCCACCATTGTACTGACTACAGGGGCAGCAGCGTTCTCTTATTACGAGGGCTGGGAGTACATCAACTCGCTCTATTATTGTTTCATCACTCTTACAACAATCGGGTTTGGGGATTTTGTCGCGCTTCAGAAAAATAATGCGTTGGAGTTAAAACCCCATTATGTGGCGTTTAGTTTGATATTTATATTGTTTGGCCTCACAGTGATATCCGCCGCCATGAACCTTCTTGTGTTACGATTTTTGACGATGAATACCGAAGATGAACGAAGGGCGGAACTGGCTGCTGTTGCAGCTGCGCAGGGTGCTGTGCGGTTGGACGGGGATGTTATTACTGCAAATGGCAGTGTGGTTTCCGGTGCTCAGGAAACGCCTGAATATAACGATCTGATATCAGTATGTTCTTGTTCATGTTATAACCTTCGATCTAAACATAAACCCCGGTATAAAGTGACTCGAGGACCGGGAAAGATCGCTCATCTTCTTCCCATGAAGTCCTCAGTGGCAAAAGAGGACAGTCAAAGTGGCGGGGTCGAAGATACGAACTCGTATTTGCAATGGCAAATGCTCAGCCGGAAACGAGCTTCGATATGACGGCGGATATGGTTAAGACGCCATGTTTGATATTCCATGTTAAAGTGCGCTTTGTTGACTACGGGGGCGAGTGTGACGCTCTCTGGTGTGTATATATTTCATATTCTACTACCTCTTCAATCGGACCCTGATCTGATCATGGATTTCGTTACTTCACTTACTTGATTGCAATGTCTTCCGTCATATCTTATCTTAGTTCACCTTACCGGCATATAGTTGAACAGACCAGTTGTTAGCTCGCATGATGAGCACAGTGATGGATGGATGGTCGCATAGAAACATTACAGTTTGGAGTATATATATATATATATATATATGTGTTATATATATAGAAGTGTGTTGACAGTGTTGATTTCAAGTTAACAGTTATGGTGATTCTGACATGGTTTCACATGTTTTAATGTGATTCTTTGTGAAATGTTTGTTTTGAAGCTCAACTATCAAGCATTATCCTTTGTTATGAGTGCAATATTATCGGTGTATCCACAGTGAGGGAGTTAAGGGTAAAATGTATGCACATGCGGGGATAACATAATGAAAATGAAAAAAACACATCGTTAATGGTATGAGATATAAAAGTAGTGCAACATTCTGACAGATATATACAAACCAAGGACTTATAATCTGTGGTTCAAGATAGCACTTGTGATAGCTTTGATACTCTGGGGACAGGGAGTTATCGCATGGCATACATTTATATGTATTCATAATGGAGAGGAATAGGTTTTGACTGTGTTATAGTCACAGGTTAGATGTGTTTGCATCCTTCAACATCCACCACAGTTGTCTCTCATTCTACTCCATTCCTGTGATCAACCAAGTTAAAAAATGAACTCCGAGATGACATCGAGTTCGTTTATTAATATATTTGAGACATTTGCATATTTGCCATATGTTCTAATTAGGTCATTTTGGATTGTCCTTGGTAAAAACCCATTTGGTTCAAACTTATTTTGTTACAAAAATCAGTTAGGTCAGTGACATTTTGTCAAGTGATGAACAACAATCTATAAAAGGCATTCTTTGACTTTGCCATATGAAAATTGTCCTGAACTTTTCCCAAATTATGAAAATGTATGTTTTTCGTAATCATATGCACAGTTACACAAATGGAACCTTTTCAAAGTGTTCTCCGTTGGGACAAATATCAGAAGACTCAATTAGAAGATAACCTTCTGAACAATGACAAGGGTTATCTTTCATATATTTCTTTATGAATAGTGTTTACGTATCGGATTGAAACTTCACGATCACATTGTACTTGTTTCTTTTATTCATTTTATGAAACTAATTCATGTAATGTTCTTTTCACCATTTTCTATTAAGCTCATTTATCGCCCTCTTTATATATTGTGGAGTAATGGCTGGCTTGGTCTAGCGGGTACCATGTTTTTATATGTTTTGTAAGTCCGTAACAGAGGATTAACATGATTCTACCCGGTACAACATAAACATGTTGTTAGATTGTTATTATTCGAAATTGAACAGATGTTAACCTAATTCAAAGTATGTTGCTCCACGCAATGATGTCGAGGTATACAACATTCGAAACAACAGATGTAAACCTAATTCAAAGTATGTTGCTCCACGCAATGATGTCGAGTTATACAACATGCTCAATTGTAAGTCTCCAATGAATCCCATGTTTGCTCGGACGTGTCTGTCTTATGTTCACAGATGTCATAAGTACTACATGTTTGGTGTTTTTTCTTCGATCTTGTTAATTTTCTTCTGTTACTTGCAAGAGCATATATTAGGAGGTCTTCCCTTGTCATCCGTTCACATCATACGGAAATTGTTTCATGTCATCAATATCAAAACCTTTTCTGTCAATGACTCCCTTTGAGTCCATATCTTTTGATTCTTTCACTCCATCGTTTCCAACAAAACTATTCAAAATATGTACATACCTCTTTCTAAAATATCTCGATTTGTCTAGACTGTTTTATTCCCATACTTCATAAACAACGGAGGGGAATAAGGGAAGAAATGCCTCATGCTCGTGAGCCATATCTTATCATGAGCACGAGAAACTTTTTTTTGATTATTTGCATAGCAATAATATAGACAAGAATGCTAGCAATCTCAGAGTTATCATCAGTTGTAATTATCATTTATACGCACTATTCATGACACATCAACCTATCACTATTTCTGTGGTTTACAGAGAGAAACAGTCATATTTATCCGCAATACGTTTGCTTGTTGGCGCTTAGTTGAGTGGAAATCTTCCATTGCTTTTACAGAATGTAAAATAGGGGATTGATATGGTGTAGTAAAGTGCTTGCGGTGACACTGGTTTCTTGCCGTTCCAAGGTCACCTGAGGTCATCCAAGGACGATAAGATCAAACCTACAAATGAGGTGAAGGTGAAGGTCAATATCTGCTCAAATCCATAGCGTAGTCATTTTTATAGCGGAATATCGCTTTTTTACCTAGTTGTCTTCATGTAGTATTTTTCTTGTTCTGTGTTTAGCATTTTGTGAAAATATTTTCTAAATTAAACCTTTGCAAGTGTAACCCCTTCTTTTTAAAGGCTATACCGATACTGTAATTCTGTCATGTATAACAATGTCCTATTGTTATGTCATTGGCAGACGGGTTTATGATGTCTTGTGCGATAGGGCCGAGGAATTACATAACATATCAACAAAGATGGCTATAATTGGTCGTATGTTTTTTTTGTATCACTATTTCCCCCCGTCAAACAATATGCGACAGTTTACCGTCCGATACAGACATTACCAGTTGGTGATAAAGCTTATAACGTGGGACGAATACCCGCTGTTACATGTTATATTCATGTTCCACAGTTGTACCTAAACAGTGTTACATGTTATATTCATGTTCCACAGTTGTACCTAAACAGTGTTACATGTTATATTCATGTTCCACAGTTGTATCCAAACAGTGTTACGTGTTATATTCATGTTCCACAGTTGTATCCAGTGTTACATGTTATATTCATGTTCCACAGTTGTATCCAAACAGTGTTACATGTTATATTCATGTTCCACAGTTGTATCCAAACAGTGTTACATGTTATATTCATGTTCCCCAGTTGTACCCAAACAGTTGTATCCAAACAGTGTTACATGTTATATTCATGTTCCACAGTTGTATCCAAACAGTGTTACATGTTATATTCATGTTCCACAGTTGTATCCAAACAGTGTTACATGTTATATTCATGTTCCACAGTTGTATCCAAACAGTGTTACATGTTATATTCATGTTCCACAGTTGTATCCAAACAGTGTTACATGTTATATTCATGTTCCACAGTTGTATCCAAACAGTGTTACATGTTATATTCATGTTCCACAGTTGTACCCAAACAGTTGTACTCAAACAGTGTTACATGTTGTGTTCATGTTCCACAGTTGTACCCAAACAGTGTTACATGTTATATTCATGTTCCACAGTTGTATGCAAACAGTGTTACACACTGCATGCATGTTCCACGGTTGAAAATATCAAATTATTGTCACCTCAGTACTTTGAGGAATTATCATCAGTATCCGTAAAAGTGCAATAAAATATTTTGATGATATTATACTGAATATACACTGTAAGTTACGTTGCTTTTATATATCAAATAAAAACATAAAATCATGTAAGACCCGCTACCTTCTGCGGCTCGTTCAAACAAATTTTTATAGTGACTCCAATAAATTTGAAGTTATTACACATTGGTACAGTTATAATGTCAGTGAAAGGTTTTGTATTTTGGCAAGAAACGGCATTATTGTCTGTACGTTAAAATCCGTAGATCACGCCTGCCTTCATCGTTATTACTTCTTCTAACCGACGCTTTGAAAGTTCATACAAAATCTATAATAATGATTACAAGTTTAAGTTAAAGGTTTAACCCTGTGTTCAAAAATATATTACCAGTTGCATAGAGGGCGTGTTGGGGGCTGCTTGTACGAACTCATGCCACTTATAAATTGCCAGCTCACTTTGATGCCATGACACAGTTTAATATGGTTACCCCACACAGTCACATTATGCTTACTCCGAGCAGACCAGGTGTAATTTATCTCCGTTAAGTAGAGCGCAAGACGGAAAAAGAAGTAACATCTTTCAACGGCTTTTGGTGAACCGCGTTCGGGGAATGGAACGACCCATATTTTGCTTCCTCTGCAAATTATGATATACATAATCCAAATGTCGGCAGATGGATCAAACAATTAATCATACTGGGGGCATGAATGTAATTGTTTGTTGAATCGTGAATATATAACGTGTTTGTTTACATCCCGCTCCTCAATCAACCGTGAATACAGGTTGTGCTGATTACAGTAGTAGGGCGTGTCTGTTCACAGTCAAGTAATGAAATGAGTCCATGTGGAACAAATGATGATGAGTCCAACTCAGTTTCACCACAGCCTGTTATTTAAACAGTGCGTCTTTGGTCGTAAGTCTCTGCCACGTGTTGCATGAGATACGTGGATGTTTGTCAGAGGTAACCTGAGCCCGGACGAAACAACCCCGTTTCAGGGACCCGTTTCACAGAACGATTTAAGAGTTACGACTATTTAAGAGTTACGACTATTTAAGAGAGACTCGTAGTACTACGATCGTTTGTGAAACGGATCCCAGCCTTAATAGATAAACATAACGTATGAATTCATGACAACGTTGTTTATACGAAAGTAACGTAATGCTGATGAAACTGGGTAGACCAAGCTTTCCCAGTCATGCTAGTGGCATACTCGTACACTTGTGTACATTTTATCTAAGTTTGAAGTCAGCTATGCCTTCCATAAAACCAAAGCATTTTGTGTATCATAATGAAAAACAATCTGTCGTTACCAACATGAAAATACACTTTTATGTATCGTTACGTACCTACATATTCTTACTATACACCGTGTTACGTATTGGTCAGTTTCGGTTCCAGAGTCTGCCAGTGTGATCGAGTCAGATTGTCTATATTTTGTATTTACCTGAATATTCCTTGGGTGAACATAAACCATTGCGTGTGTGGTTATGTTCCATATACCAGAAACACCCTTAGAGTAGGATTCCAAAGTGTTTTTGATTTGTGAAACTATGAGTTTTGTGCTGTGGCAATTTGATATTACCTCTGTGAGCGAACACTTTCACAGCCCAGGAGTGAGATCAAGGTCAGGTTCCCCTGCCCGGAGAATGATTGTTAAAAGAATTATTTTAAATGTGGTGAAACTTGGTGAATTTCGTGATACTTTGCTTTCAAGTTTCAAATGAATGAGACTTTTCTTGCATAAGTTTATTTCTTATATGACATCGGTCATCTTGCTCCAGCTTGTGATTGTTTTCATAATACACCATATGCATGCCATAAGCTCATACATTTGTTTCTTTTAACCTTTTTTGACATTATGATGGGTATGAACGCGTGTTTGATATGTGCATGCCTTTTTTACACAATTCGTTGCATGACTACTTAGTCATGCTTTTAACAGAATTCTATCATTACAATGACACTAAGGAATCATTATAATGAAGGGTGAAGGTAAAGAATCGGATTTGATTGAAGTTAAAGCATCCGATTGTGATACGGATGTTGGACAATGTAAACAAATGCAATGATTTACTACTGCCAGATATAGACTTGTGTTATCAATGCTATTTTACTTTCATCAGAGGTCATTTCTGAATTAATTCAACTGTCGGATGTTTGAATTGTTTACATTTACCTAAGGTAGAATGTCATTGTTTCATTATGAACCTGAAGAAAGTAATTCTTCTAGATTCTACAGAGAATAATTGACATCCCGTACTACAACGCTATTCTACTTTAGGGGCGATGGGGTAGCCTCGTAGTGTAAGCGTTCTGCCGTCACTCCGTAGACACGGGTTCGATTCCACACTTGGAGAAAATGTGTGAAGTCCATTTCCGCTGCCACATCTGCCGTGATGTTGCTGGAATATTGCAATAAGTAAAATGAGGCAAAATGGAGAATACACAGTAAATGTTTTAGTCCGAATTTATGTAATATTGAGGCATAATATATATAGTATGTTTTAAATCTTAATATTATATAATTTAATAACCAAGAAACTATTTAATGTATTGTTATACTATACAAATTAGCTTAAAGCTGGAGAAAATATTATGCTAAAATATGAAAACAATGTATGGTTATAATATTCTAATTTACAAAATTTCAACCTCATAGTATTTTATATCTATAAAGCGCATCTAAAACATTAGCACATTCATCAGGCAAACTGGGTCGTAAGTGTAACTCATAGAGTTGACGTCAGGACCAGTACGCTCTAATTACAAACAGACTGATCCGTGGTTGGCTACATTCTACACCAACTCAAAACAAGATGCTCTGAAGCTTTACAGTAGAAAAGAAGTATACAGTAAGGACATGTTAATGCATTGATGACATCAGACATAGGCTCCACCACCTCTGATTTTATAACAAAAGACTGTACACAAGAACGTCATTCCAATTGGTTATTCTTAAGCCAATAACTATGACATATTAATTTTGACCTTGTCTTGACTTCAATTGCATTGATTGCTTAACTTAT